AGAGTTTTCATTAAATTAGATCGAATTTTTATAGAGGTTTTTTATTGAATTAATTTGAATTTTTCTAAAGAATTTCCACTGAATGAAATTGAACTTTTATAGAGAACTTTCATTAAGTTAAATCGAATTTTTATCAAGAATTTACATTAAATTAAGTCAAATTTTTATCAACAATTTTTACTAAATTAAATCAAGTTTTTATAAACATTATTGATTGAAATCAATCTACTTTTGATAGACAATATTGATTGAGTTACATCTACTTTTTAATAACATATATTTGTAGATTATATCTACTTTTTAATTATACTTATCGTTCTGTTATATGCATTTTTTCAAGATGTCTTTGAGTGTTTTTCATTGTTAAACGGTCTTGATTGTTGAATTATATGTTAGAAAATAAACTGAATCATGCTTTTTAATGTTAGTGAAGAGTTTTACGTCAAAAAAAAAGAAAAATTTATGTACAAATATTGTATATATACAATTATATTACTATATACAATTAAATTTATTATTATTAGAGAGCGATTGACATTAAAGGTGGTGGATTCGTAAAGTTATGAAATTGGTGATGAGTAGTGAAAAATGACGATGAGTAAATTATATGTTTTTTGTGTAGATGCGTGCGAAGTGCGTGTTCCATTATTTCAACTCCATATCTAGATCGATGTAAGCCATCATACATATATCTAATAGGTATTGCGGGCTGAATAGTGTCGAACTGTTTTTCAGCCGTTAACTTGAGGAGAAGTATATTACATTTCTCAATCTCATGTAAAACTGCAGGCCCTTCTGGGAGAAGCCAAGACTTACGAGTGCGTTGTTGGAGAAGCTGCCAAACAACGTTGATACCGGGATATAAATTTCTCACTGTAGAAACTGTATGATCAATTCGTTGTACGGTTTGATAGGCTCCAACTCTATGTAGATCATTGGTGCCAATGATGAAAATTAATTGATGAGCACCACGAATGAGAGTTTGACCGTCTAGTGATTGTAACCAAGCGAGCGCGTCAGCGCAATCACTACGCGATTTAGATTGTAAGCGCACCTCATTTTATTTATTTTCTATATTTTTAACTGAAATATTTCGAGCGATAGACGAGCCGACTATAGCGGTAATTAATTTAATTTCTCTATTTTTCTCATGAATGTCTTTCTCAATATTATGTACATGATGTTGATGATCAGTATATATAAGTAATGTACCTTGTTGTAGACGATGTTGTTTTTTGTTTTGACGTAATTTTAAAAAAAAGCGAGAGCGATCGCGATGCGTTTTTTGTTGTTGATGATCATGATGATGTGAAGAACGAGTAATAGATGAATTTTCGAATATCAATGGTAAGATCACTTGAGATGAAGCGGATGCTTTATGATCAGTCTGCATCTTATGCATCACTTTCTGCACTTTTGATATGGACGATATATTTTTAGACATGATAAATTATATTGTTATGATTGAAAAAGATATATGAATACTTAATTATAAAAAAGTAGCTCTTTTATATATCGAAAAAAATAAAAAAAGCAACCTGTTTCAATTTGGGTGAGGGTGTGGGTGTGGATGTGGGTGTCTTTTCTCTTATATCCGACCCACACCTAAACTCACCTACAACCATACTCACATCCACACCCACCCTCAAGTTTATGTCTTTTCTTTTCTATTTATATGATAATTCTATAAATAAAATAAGAGAATACAACATTGATATCTGACCTAGATTGTTACGTACATTTGTGTGAAGAAGTATGTAGTCGCCAAACCAACTATTAAAAGAGAAAGAATTACATTCGTAATGGTATCGAAACTTGTTAAATTACTTATATATAAACATATGCATATATATTAAGTGAAAAACTATTTCAAAATGAAATATTTTTGTCTAACTAATTTTTCTCATTTTAGATTTTAATTTAAAGTTATTATTTTTTTTAAATAAAATAATTAATTTTTACAGAGTATATCTACCGATCGTGAAATAATAGATGGCATTCGATTAAACTATAGTCAAGTAAGAAGAAAACAATGATGACATATAATTACCCTTTTCCTTTTTCAATAGGTACTTAAGACGGTGGACAAACTATTTGAATATGTCCATCGCAAAGCACAACTTGAACTTTGTAAATTGTAAGTTGAAGTGAAATTGCACGGTAAAATAACCGAAGAACAAATAAAAAAATTCAATAGGGACATTCAAATAACCAACACAGAAATATATCAAATTGATTAGTATATTAAGATCGTATTTGAGTTATATTTAACTTTAAAAGATGAATACAGTAAGAAAAAAATAACCATTAAATATAATTAAATGTTTTTTTTTATTTAGCAAACCTAAGATAATATATAAAGAACTAGAAATAGAATATGTTTCATCATTTAAATAGTTAGGTATGGAAATAGGTACGAAATTAGGTATGGGAAAGAATATCACAAGCAGGCTGAAGAAAGTAAGAAATTCATACATTGCACTACGAATGATCTGTCGTACTATACCTAAACATGAAACCAAAATACGGAAAAAGCTTTTCTGCGCTTTCTCCTTACCTCACTTCTCTTTGTTATTCTGCACATGATTTCTCTTTACGGATAGACAACGTGAAGAAATCGAACATGTTTATTTAACAGGGCTGAGAATTATATATTCCCTTTGGGGATATGATGACTACCTAACATTAGCGTTAACACGGGAATTCTCGATAAGAGATTATTTATTCAAGTATGTGGTGAAATTCTCCAAACATCTCTATTCTTCAGCTTAAGCTGAATCTTTCCGGTCTACATGGAACGCATACTTGATTGCAACTTCCCCTAGGAAAAGCTATTATGAAAGCTGCGGACTTGAAAATGATCGAGACTTCCCAGATAGATTAGCAAATAGAGTCAAGCATACGTATTTAGATTTGCTAGACTTCATGGATGTTCATAAAGGTCAATATGGTTACTATAAACGTTCTACTTACATAATCGAGTCCTTTATACTAAAATACATTACATAACTTAATATTCCTACATGTAATGAGAACACGATGTAACTATTATAAGGAATGATTATCCAGGATCATAAATTATCTCGTGTCAAGCTACCCCTTTTTTATCTTATCTATCCTGAAATTTTAAATTTATAAATGTATTTTCTTTAAATGCATTTTCTTTACTAATTGTTAACCTTAAAAAGGAACAATAAAATTAAATGCCAAAAAAAAAATGTTTTTTTTATTTAGAGAAAATAAAGATCAACAATTGATATCATATTTCAAATTCAATTTCTTTAATTTCATTTCATCTGTATACATTGATAATTATTTATTTATTTTACTATTCTCGTCTGATTGATTATATAAAAAACTAACAATTATATTTATTAATTTTTTGTCAAATAAGAAAGAATAACAAAATTTACTTCGAAGTTACAACTTGTTTATCTATCCTAATTCATACGCAATGAATATTTCGTAGGAATGAATGAAAATATCTCATTTTCAAATAAATTATGAAATAATAGTTTTTCGTTCAATTATACTGTTGATAAAATTCCTTAGCTAATGAATCCAAAACTTTTCTATGTTAAGAATATATTTAGGGTGTGGATGTGGGTGTAAGTGTGGATAGTGGTTATATCGTTTATTTACCCACATCTGCATCCTATCCGTTGCAAAGACAAAATTCTGATACGAATTGGAGTTTTGAAATAAAGAGGGCGTATCATCTCTTGCATAATTCTATCGAAGAAACAAAATTCTATCTTAGTTCTTGCATAATTATACTGCAAGTACGAAACTCTGAGAAGAATTTTGATTTCGAAATAAAGAGGGTGTATGTTCTCTCACATAGTTCTGTTGAATAAATAGAGTTTTGGACGGAGTGGTTAGAATTCTCAGTTTATCATGAGAATTCTGTATATTTTGTCTTGTATATTAAAGAAATATCAAAAAAGTTCTAGAACTCTGCTGTTGAGAATTTTATCAGCTCTCGGAAGTTATTAATGCGCATTACTTACAAAGTAAATATGTGTTTTTATTGTTCGTGATGAAATTATTTCTTCTCTTTCAAAAAAGTTGGAAAAAATGATTTCTTTCTTGTTGCTGTTTTTTCTATTCACCTGACTTTATGATTCACATGAAATGATAAAGATGACAAAACTCTATTATGATTCATCAAAATAAGGAAAAAACCATGATCAATAACGTCATGAAAACATTGTGATAAAGAGATCTGATTCTTATATAAATAACCATTTATTAGTCAGCTCTTTAACTACATACAATTATCGACATATACGTACCGCGGGCCCGAAACCTTCAAAATCTAGCGTAAAATGTCCTCATGGAGCAACAACGTCTTATGTTCGCTAACCACGACACCCTTTAACTCCAAATTACCTTCTCATTTGGGGAGTTTCCAGCGTCGATGAAGGAAAAAAGGATTGCCAAGATAAACTCATTCAGCTGAAGAATGAGATCGACTTCTTGGTTAAAATTGGTCAATTTAATAAAGCTGAAGAACTTTATAACATATTACTCGGACAGACATCTGATAAGGGTGAAAAGCAGCATTATTATAATCAGCTTGGATTTTTACATTCGAATCATGGTGATTATGACAAGGCTTTTTGGTATTACAAAAAAGCACTTGAAATCGAACAAAAAACTCTTCCCTCAAATCATCCTTTATTAGCTGCTGCATACGATAATATGGCTTTCGTATATGACAGCATATGAGAGTGTTCGAAAGCAAAGAACTTATAAAGAATAACTTGATAAATAAATTTGATTATTTTTATACAAAGTATTTCTCATTAAACATTTCTTCGTTTGTCGATTTTAGTAGTTACTTGAAAAATGAAAAACAAAAAAGCAAGACAAATATGTAAAATACAAAAGAAAAAAGGATGAGATGAAAAGAGAAAATGAAAAATATAAAAGAAGAAGAAGAAGAAGAAGACGAAGAGAAGAACAACTACAATAATACAAATAAACATATTTCATAATTAACCTTGTATTTTAACATGCGCTTTATTACTTCCACGACAATAATACATTTTATGTGCATCATAAGAACTTTTATGTCGAAATGGAATTTGACATGATGAACAATATGTTTCAGGTGTTTTCTTTTTCGTATTTAATTGTTCATCATTTGTTGGTCGAGATGAACAATATTTCGTCATATGTTGTTTTAATGTATCAATACTACCAAATTTAATATGACAATATGGACATGCAAATTTTTTCTTTATTGAAAATCCATCAGATATTTTTTTTATTGAATTTATATCCATTGATTCAATAAGAACATTACGAGTGAGATTCACTGGATCAGATAATTTTTCATTATTAGTAGAAGAAGTAGTCGAAGAAGAAGAAAGACTAAAGAAAAAAACAAATAAATAAATATAGAATTTAAAGAAAAAAAATATTTCAAATTTACTCTAGATCTTCATCTAATTTTTGATCAATTTTAGATTCATTCATATGAAAATGAGACTCATTTAATTCATTATTATCATCAGCATCTTGTTGTTGTTGTTCTTCTTCATCACATTTTATATTTGTATGTGTTAATTTCATATGACGAAGTAAATTCCATTTCGAACAAAATCTTGATTGACATTCTAAACATTCAAGTAAACTTTCTTTTGTATGAACATATTTTATATGATTTAATAATGTATCTTCTTGATCAAACATCGCCGAACATATTTTACATTTAAGTAATAATTGAGATGATGGAATAGATAAAGAATTATTATTTATTGTTGGTGTTATTATAATATCATCATCGGTACATGGTTCATTATTAGATAAATGAAATTTAAAATGCATACGCATTCCACGTAATGTATTACCACGATATTTGCATAGACGACACATAAATGGTGATGAACGATGTGGTGGTAAATGAGTAGAAGATATTGTTGTATCATTTGGAGACAACGGAACTGTTTTAGAGATTGATATTGGAGGAGATTGAGATCTATTCAAATAATAAAAGATGTTATAGATAAATATATAGAATTAGCTTATCAAAATGATTAATATCCTTTGCTGTCAGAACACTCTCGAATAATAATAATTTAGTCTTACCGATTGGAATCATTAACTATTGAATTAGTTTCATTTATTGATAAATTATTATTATTTGTAGGTTTTTTTTGTTTTCTATATTCAATACAATAATTTTCTTGATGTGCATGTAAAGTTTTTAATGAACTAAAACGTATTGAACAATAATCACATTCATAGATTTGTTGTTGAACATGATTTGTTGATTTTGTTATTGTTGATGAATTAAGTAAATTAAATAAATTTGTTGGTTTTTCAATTGTTAAATCTAATGGTGAAGTTGATTTTTCACATTCATCAACGATTTTTTTTGGTTTACTTAAATCTAATGGTTTATTATCATTCGTCGACGGTGATAATGGTTGTTCAGTATTTTCAACTTGTGAAGAAACAATGGGTACAGGTACATATATAAATTGTCCAATTTGTATCGGACGATCGAATGGAATTGGTGGTCGAAATGAATTTGAAATATTTTGTTCATTTATTTGACGTAAAGATGAAGATGTAGATGTCGATGATGTTGATTTCGTTCGACAATAATATAATTTATGTTGAAGAAGATTATCTGGTTTAGAAAATAAAATATCACATTCAGAACAATATGAGTCATTTGATGGTGTTGATAAACGTTTTGTTGGCGATGATGATGAATCACTTGTATCAATATGTTTGCGTTTCATGCTCTTTGTTTTAACAATCATTGTTGAATCTATAAAACATTAGATTTTTTTTTATGGCAATTAATGACCTTTTTTTTGTGTTAAAAGATTAGTTTATCTTTATCTATTTACCTGTTGAATGACTTTTTTTTGTTTCTCCTCGTTTTATACAGTAATGTTGTCGATGAGCATCTAATGTACTTCTATTACTATAACGAATACCGCAATCATCACATATAAAAATAAGAGCTAAAAGTCAGAGAATGAAAATTAAGATTGAAAAAAGATAAAAAATAATTACGATGAAGTTTTTTTGTTTCTTTCGATTTTGTTGGATTGTTAGAGATAATTGGTGATTCAGATTTAATATTCGATGATAATGAAAGATCAAGTTGTTGTGGTTGTTGTTCTTCTTCAGATTCAATTGGTTCTTCTTTAACTTTAATATCATCTGTAATTGAATTCATATTTATTTTAATTTCTTGTTTTATTTGACAATCTTCTGTATTAATTAATTTTGGAAGAATAACTGTATTTGTACAAAGTCGTGTACCAATTGTTATTGATTGTGTTAGAATAATAAAAATTTGATCATCTAAAATCATTTTTTCAAATATTTAAAAAAAACTCTTTTCTAATAATAATTATTACCTTGGAAATTAATATCGAAATTTGTTGAAGAATGATTTAATATTGAACATCTAGCAAGCCAATTATGTTTATTATCAAGTAATTGAAAAGATTGTATATGATGTTCATTAATTTCATTATCAATCTATATAAGACAAAAAAAAATATATATAAATCAAGTTTTACTATTTGATCATTCATATTAGATAAGAACAGTCCAATTTTTCCTATCTATTTTCTTTTCGTCACTGCCATTCTATCATCTATCGACACATATACATAAAAAAAAAGAAAAAATCTCGAGATAACCATACTTGCATGCATGCTCGCACGCGCGACCATCGGATTGGAATGGCCGATAAGACAACGACAACGACGCGCTATCATAGATCGCTCGTGTCGTTCTCATCTCTCAAATGTCCTCATCGTCTTTCTTCTATCAGCCATCTTTCAATCCTTTGTATGCACACACACATACATAGCGAACATGAATATGTGCTTTGACGATGATAAGAGCAAGACGACGAGATAGATAACTCAGCTCAAAACGTTAGCAACAAACATCAAATAACAGAGAAACCATCTATGAGACGTCGTCGTTGAGTCTTATCTTGTGGCACCGAGAATGCAACAACGACAGCAGAATTAAATGAGAGTAAGAGGAGAGAGAAAAAAAAGCAAAGCTTATCTATATGTCATAAAATGTGAAATAAGTACTTACTTGCATGATCATGCTACTACCACCACCGCTACTACTTCCATTCATTGAATCTGAATCAGTTGATAATCGTTGTTGTTGACAAGAAACGGCAATAGCCGGAAATGGACCTAAACGTTGTCCTTGTTCGATATCGATTCGAGCAATTATCTCATGTGTCTAAAATAATTTTTAAAAAAAAAGAAAATTATATTAATTTAATTTTTTATTTTCTTGTTCTAATATAATGATATTTACTTCTTCATCACATTTCAATTCATCGGGTAAAACAAATATTGTTTCATCACCTTCTATTAAAAAAAAGAAAAAGGAAATAGAAAATCAAATTTTTATTTCTTCTTTTTTTTTAAATATACCTTTCAATGATTTCGGATGAAGTTGCTTACGACGGGACATGGCCATTGACTGTCTATGTATATGTGTGTATATGTCTGAAGAAGAAAAAAAGCAAACGAGAAGGATGCACATACATGTATATACATATATGCGATCTAATCGATGATAATCGCATTTCTCTCTCTCTCGTGTTCTTTTCTCTTAACCGATAAGCGCAAATTGACCATTACGGAACATTGAGAAGATGAAGAGAGAAAAAAAAAAGTTCAATATATCTATATATATATATATATTTATATCGAAAAGAGAAGAAAGAGAATTCGATCTTCTAATCTTTGACGTCCCGTCTCGTCATCACCATCGTCGTCTCTTTTAACTCTTCTCTCTCTCTCTTTATTTTACTATAGATAATATTTAGATACGCTCTCATAGAGTGTGAGGGGGCGAGAGCACGTAGATAGTCGGCGTGCACAAAGATTAGGCACTGATAAGAAGACCAACTAGCGAGACTGGCTGAGTGAATAAGATGCGAATGAATGATTTAGAATTATAGTTAGATATGCACTTCAATACTTTCTTGCATTTTTTCGTTTGTCATTGTATGGATAGGTATCTGATTAATAGCATATTTAGATTTATAATATTGATTTTTTAACTAAATTGACGAGTACTGGTGATGGGAAGATAACGATGTAAGACGTAAAAGTAGGTAAGAATATATATGTATATTTATATTATCGATATACATATATATATATTTATGTACATATTACCAATCATTTGCAAAGGTATAAATGATGAAATTAATATTTTACATTGAGAAATTATTTTTTTTAAGTAGTACCTGTTTCATTTAACGCCGGTAAGATAAGCGAGTCTGTGATTGAAGTCAGCATGTATATCGAGGAAACGAGAGACGAGAGAGAACAGGTTAAATCACCGTGCCGATGTTGGTGATGTTTTTTGCCATTCGCTTACACGCGGTAAAGAGATAAGCCTTGCATATATATCCATAAAAAACGTTTTCTCTCCCTCATTCTCTGGCCATTGCCGACGACGACGACGCCGCGAAATTGCAACGTTGTCGTTCGTTATCTTATCGGTACATCGATCATCAAGGGAGAAAGAAAAGAGTCGAACTTACCCGAATGACTGACTGAATGAGGTCTGTCTTTTGGCCAGAATGTATATTCATTCTATTCACAACACATGCACTTCTTCCAATTAAAGAAGCGCAATGTGTGTATATACTACATTCTAGTTTAAAAAAAGAAACTACCATCTACTAAGTCTTATCAGTTGGTAATCGAAGAGCAAAACGGACAGCAGCAACAGCATCGACATCAGTAATTTTTTAAACTAAGAACAATATAAAAGAAATAGAGAGATACGGACGAATGATCGACATGCACACAACAGATTCACAGATGTCTGTGGTTTAACTAAAACGTAATATTAACTGAACTCATCGATCTCATGTATATATCTATATGTGTATATATTGTTATCAGGTCGAATTGTGTGTGTGTGTGTGTGTGCGTGTGTTTTTTTCTTATTATTCAATAGACACAATGCATAGCATCTTGAGCGTATCAAAACAAGAGAAAAAAAAAGCACAAAACAAGAGAAATAAAACAAGAGGAAAAGACAACTTTGATTTTGAAAGATGAAGAAGAAGAAGACAAAGGAGAAGAAGACGAAGAAAAAGATGAAGAAGAAGAAGAAGAAGAAGAAGTAGAAGAAGAGAAGAAGAAATACAATAAAAAATAAATATGTATACTTTTTTTTCTTTTTGTTTCGTGTAAAAAGCGTGCATAAATATAATTAGGCATTCATAAAACTAACATTTTTTCTTAAAACAGAGTCTCTTGATGCGGATCTTTTTAAAATTGATTTAAGTGTTTGAGTTGAACTAGCAGATGGAGTACGTTCAGACATGATCGTTATATTTGGATCATAATCCATGAGTCCATCTGATGACCTACGGTAATTTCCTTGCATATAATTCTCCTGATCAGAATTAGTAATAACTGTAACTGGAATTTCCATACGAAATTCATTTTTATAACTATTAGTATTCAGATTACTAGTTGAAGGAGATCGTGGAAAATGAAGAAAACTTTCAGCAGCAATTGTTGCTGGATGTGGAGGTACTTGAATTTCATGTAAAACAGGTATATGATAAACATTATTTCGTTGTGTTATACGAGAAGGGGATGGAACCACAGGTGGTTTCGCTGATAATGAATTTGCAGATGATATACGACTATCAAGTGAAACAGATTGATTATTTTTTAAGTTGATAATAACACGACGAGATAATACAGGTGATCGACCTGATAGCTCACTACCATTTTCGGATAATAATGATCCACGTCGTTGTTGTTGTTGTTGTTGTTGAAATCGAGCAATACCTTGAATAGCTTCACGTGCCATAGCTTCAGCTCGACGTGTAGGTGGTGTATTTGGTGGTAAATGTGTTAAATCTGATGATGATGTATTTATTAAATCACTTTTTTGACGTAGTAAACTATTATTTGATTGGGATGATGAACGAAGTATAGTATTTGATAGACGAGAAGTATTTGTTGGTATAGATGCAGTATTTGATGATTGTGAAAGACGAATTGGAATTGGACGAACAGGAAGCGATGATACATTATTGTGTCTCATTGCAACATCGTCATCATCAGCTGTTGTTGTTGTCATTACTGGTATTGTAAGATTTAACCGACGTGAAACAGTCGGTAAACGAGGCATATTTTCTATTGATTCATCATTGATATTATGATTATTACTTGAACGACGATGAAAATATTTTGGAGTTGGTCGCAGAAGACCTTTGAAGAAAATAAAACATTCTAATCATCGAAAAAAGAAAAGAAAAGAAAAGAAAAATATTAATGATAATTCAATTTTGTCTATTTTCATAATAAACAAAAGAAAATCGTTTTATTTTTTTTTCTTTCTTTCTTAAATTCATTCATTTCATATTTACTGGCATAACGAGGTGGAGGACTTGTATCTCCACCAAGATCATTGCTATTTGTTAATAATGAACTTGTTTCATTAATAAAAGTAACTGGTACTGAACGAACATTATTATTATTATTATGATGATGATTATTCGTTAGTGTTATTCCATCATCTCGTTTAACAGGTATGTGAATAAATCCTCGCTTGTCTGATGTCGCTGCTCGACTACTTCTAACAAGCGGAATAAA